TTAACTCAAATCGGGCATTTTTGGTAACTCAATTCGGGCATTTTCGGACATGTGGTATTTTTGATAGAAAAATCTTCAATTAATCAAATTATCATTTAACAAAACGTTGAGTGCATTATTTTTGTGATTATCCATAGTCCCGATACCAAAAGTTGCATTTAATAGATTATATCAGAAATTAATAAAACATGAAAACTCGATAATTTAAAGTTACAGTATAAAAGCAATGACAAGCGTGCCTACTAGAGTTTTATAGCAATAAATAAAATGAATGTATGGAAAGTTGCTTGCAAAAGTAAACAAAATATTTGAAAAATATATGTTAGAAATCAGGAATGAGAGTTAATCAATACGCAAAGCTCTTGGGGAAATTGGAGTGAGGTAACTTCATTGATTCTTTGTTGCATATCACCGTATTGTGGACTTAGATCGCAAGTATATGTAGCTACAGGTGTACTATATGGATCCAACTTATATTCACTATTATTCCTTATATTTATTATAGATCTTTAATTAATTTTGAAAGTTTACCTGTTTTCTTTGTTGACAACTTAAAACGGCATAAAAAAATTTTAAAACCTGAAAATGTCTACAATATGGAGCCTGCTTTGGATATCCTCAACAGTTGGTGAATAGACAATTTATAATTATTTTCAATTAAATATTTCTAAATGTATAGTTGTTTTCTTTTTCCGTTAAAATTTCCTTATTTATTCAATTACTCTGATAACAATGAGACTCTTCTCTTAAAAGGTGTGATATATTTAAAGATTTCGGTGATACATTGGACTTTACATTTACTATTAGTAAGCATGTTGAAAATATATCGCTGCATCTGAGCTGCTAAGATATTGCGTACGTAATTGGTTTAGTTTTGCCAATGTTGAAACTCTAAAATTGTTAAATATTACATTTGTTGGAAGTAAATTGGAATATTGTAGTCTAATTTGGTCGTCACTTGTCTATCAGAATTCCATACAAACTAGAGAACACAAGAGAAACTAGAACAAATTCAAAGAACAGCTTGCCAATGACACGAATACGCACGGTTGAAATAGAACCTGATGTAGGATTAGTAAGACGAGACGTTGCTGGTGGTGGAAGGCGTTTAATACGCTTCCACTGCTTCAAGCGAACTCCATCTAACTGAGATATATCTTCCATAAGTCATACAAAGTTATAATGAAACAAATAGAAGAGCCATAAGTGTAGGCTTAGATTAGATTAGGAGTTAGACGTTATTTGTCCTTGTCCACCGCGACCTTTTCAGTTCTATTGTGGGACTCCGTTTGTTTTAGAGTATGTCGTCTAGCCTGGTCTTTTTTATTAGACTTAGTAGCTTTGACAATGGCTCCCGCATGTAGTTGCATGCACTTGGCTTTTCTTCGCCCAATGTTAGAAACCTCATTCCAGCCAAGCCTTCACATTGGCACAGGACGTGTGGAATGATGTTTCCTCTTCTTCTTCACAGAACCTGCACAAAGTTGCTTCTTTTGCTGGATTTATGACACTCATGTGTCTTTTGAGGCGATAGTGTCCAGTAAGAAGGCCTACTGTTATCCTAACGATTTGACGCTTTTGATCCAGTAGGTCTTTCGTAAACTTGGCCGATGGTTCCTTGATGAACTGTTTGGCCTGTCTCAGTCTTGGATAGTTATTCCACCATTCCTGAGACTCTTCTTGCATCCATTGTTTAATGGATGCATTGCACAATGCCTTAACAACTCCACAGAAGGGTTCGTGGCCTGTCATGGCCTTATCTGAGCCTTCTCGGGCTAATTCGTCGACCTTTTCGTTGCCCTGATATCCCTCATGGCCTGGAACCAAGGCTAAGGTCACCTTATTTTGACTACTTAGCTCTGTCAGGTCTTCTAGACAGTCTTTCACCAGTCGTGATTTGATTTCTGGTGAGAGAATTGCCTTTAGAGCTGCTTGGCTATCAGAGTATATGGCAATAGTTTTGCCTGATACTTGCTGATTTAATATTTCTCTTGCACAGTGTTGTATGGCTATTAGCTCAGCCTGGAACACTGTTGCATATTTTCCTAAGCTCAGTGAAATCGTTGATTTCGACTTAGGTCCATAGATTCCAGCACCGGCTCCTTTCTTGGTTTTTGAACCGTCTGTGTACCAGACGAGTTCAGCCTGTACGGGAGGTCCCTGTTTCCAGGATTCTCGGGCTGGTATTTGAATTTGAAAATTTCTTTCAAATTTATATGTGGTTATGGCTCTATCAGTAGGCATAGCTAGAATATTATCCCTTTTTACTTGCTGATATACCCTTGTGTGGTCGGCGCTATGTAGTTGGCTTATTGGGTTTTGTCCCTGCATTAGCCTGTGAATAGCTGACCTGGTTTCTCCTTGTATGAATATGTGCAGTGGCGTGAGATTTAATAATACCTCCATTGCTGCGATCGGCGTAGTGCGCATGGCCCCAGTAGCACTTAGACAGGCAAGCCGCTGAATGCTAGTGAGTTGGCCTATTGCACTTGCCTGCGCAGTTTTGGTTACCCACGCCACTGCGCCATAGGTTATCATGGGTCTTATTACCCTTGTGTATAACCATATGGTCATTTTGGGGTTTAGACCCCAGTTTTTCCCACATATTCTTCTACAGCTTACGAGAGCTATTGTAGCTTTATGTGTGAGTTTTTTGAGATGTTGATTCCATGTCAGCCTTTGGTCAAATATGACTCCGAGGTATTTGGCTTCTGTGACGAATGGGATAACTGTGCTGTTTAGTACTAGTGGTCTTAGACCTGTAAGTACCCGTTTTTTTGTGAATGGTACAACTGTTGTTTTTTGTGAGTTAATGGACAATTGTTCCTTTTGCATCAGTTGTTCACTATGTTTAGAGCTGTTTGAGATCGCTCCGAAACTGTACCTGCAAATCGCCCCCTGACGATGATTGCTAGGTCGTCTGCGTATCCTAGGCACTGGTAGCCTTCTTTGGACAATATTTTGAGTAAATCGTCCACAAGAACTGACCACAGCATTGGAGATAGTATTCCTCCTTGTGGGCAGCCCCGTGTAACTTTTGCCTGTATGGTTGCCTTTCCTAGAGTGGATAAAATAATCCTGTTCTCTAGACAGGCAGTGATCCATTGGCATATTGTTACTGGGACGTTTCTCCCTTCTAAAGCCTTGGTTATTGACTTGGTTGAGGCATTGTTGAAAGCTCCTTCAATTTCTAAGAAAGTGGCTATTACGATTTCTTTGTCATCTATTGACTTTGAAAGCAGCCTGTTTAGATCGTCCAGCGCTAGGTCAGTTGACTTTCCTGGCTGGTATGCATATTGGTTGGGATGGAGCGGATTTATTTTTAGTATATCGTCCCTGATATACCTATCTATTAATCTTTCTAGTGTTTTAAGTAGGAAGGAGGATAGGCTTATGGGGCGATATGACTTTGGCGTTTGATCTGTGACCCTACCTACTTTGGCAAGGTAGACTACTTTCGCCTTTTGCCATATTGCTGGGATATATCTCCAGGCAATACATGCTCTGAAGATTTTGCATAAATGTGGCATTAACACATCTTTTCCCTTCTGGAGCAGAATTGGATATATTCCATCCGGCCCCGGGGATTTGTATGCCTTAAATTTGTTGATAGCCCAACTAATCCTGTGTGGTCTTGTGATCTCGGAGGCCAGCTTCCAGTCTATTGGAGTTGGTCTGATCCCCTTGTGACTGTAGCTCTCTTGGTCTCCTGAGTCTAGTCCTGTTAGGATAGTTGAGGCCGGAAAGTGCACCTGTGTTAGTATCTCCAGACTTTCCTTTAGTGTCGTGGTGTAGGTATCATCCTTTTTTTTGAAGAATCTCACTTGACTAGATGTACTCTCTTTGGCTATAATAACTCTATGGATTCTAGCGCTGGCGGTGGTCTCTGAGACCTCTTCGCAGAACTTCCTCCATGAGTTTCTTTTAGCCTTGCGTACTTCCTTGTTATACTCTGTGAGCTTATTTTTATAAGTAGTCCAGTCTTGTGTGGATTTGGCTCTGCTGAATAGCCTTCGCATCTCGCCTCTCAGGCTATCTAGGTGTTTATTCCACCAGACTGTTTTTCTCGTTTGGTATCTCTCTTTTTCGGGACAGTTTTCTTGGTAGGCTTGCCAACCGTCCTCTATTCCAGAGGACAGTCCTCTTTTCTATCGTTTTGTCCTCTGTTTTCTAACATATAGAATATGTCCTCTTTTATAACCTACCATATCTATCCAAAATGTAAAAATAGCAATAGGTAGATGTGTTTTTATATTTTTTTTATATATTTTCTACTCAGCGGTTGAGTGCCAACTGAGCGAGACTCCGGGTGGTGGTTAGGAGTTTTTCTTAGTTAGTCGCAGACATAAGTAAAGTGCGAGGGCCTAAAAACCATCAAAATCTTTTACCCCAATCTAAGGTGTAAGGTAACGTGCCGACGGATAAATTGCCGCAGGGGAAGATGCGGCAGTAAACGCTCCCCTAAGCGGACCTGGCGACACCCTCTTGTGTCTAGCTTTGCCGGCGCATGCGGGGCTCTGCGTCGGTCGACCTTTCCTTCCCTAGCTACTCGTTGGAACCATATGGATACACAAACACAAAACAACCCAAAGAGGCTGGACGTCAACGCTCACCTCCTGCAAAGGAGCCTGGACAACAAAGTTCAGCTCCCGCACAGGAGGTTGGACAGCGACGCCCACCTTTAAAAAAAGAGGATGGACACATTAGTTCACCTCCAACTAACAAGTCCCGGAGAGGTAAGAAAATCTCTGGATCTGAAGCAAAGATGAGAAAGAGGAATACGCTGCAGGCAGGCAGTGCTAAGGCAACCGCCACCCTCAGCAAACTCCTTCACTCCAAACAAAACAAAAGCGGCTTAATCAAGTCCCTAGATAGCGACGCTAGTTCTGCCTCCACAAGAGGCCAGGAACACGACGCAACTAGAGACCAAAAAAGGCCGCGATCTTACACCTCTTTCGAGGTAATGCCCCAGAAGGGAAAACATTTCAGACAGAACCACAATGTTCTGTCTGGATACAGCTACGAGCCACCTGAAAGTAGCTATAATAGACAAGGATAACTCTTACGGTAAGATAACTACCGAAAGAGAAATCCTTGTCAAAAAGACACTGATGGGAGAGCTGGACAAAACAATTTTGTCCGCCTCCTGCAGCAAAACCAAGCCACCAACATTCAGGTCTTGGACGCACTCTGGTGAAATCATCAGAGTAACGTGCGACGATGAGCTAAGGTTGGAATGGCTAAAAACCAAGGTACCAACCTTAAAAACATGGGAAGGGGCAACACTCGCAGTTGTAAGGATGGACGAGCTCCAAAAGCTCACCAAAGCCTCTCTCTGGATCACAGGGGAAGTGCAAGCTGACCTTGACGAGAAAGAGGTTGTGATCAGGCGACTTGATGGGCAAAACCCAAACTTGCAAGTGGCGAAATAGTGCACCTTCCAATCAAAAAAACCCTAAGGGCCATCTCTTCGTCTTTGGCATCGGAGACGAAGACATGGGAATCCTAAAGGCCAAATCAATGAAGATGAGCTGTGCGTTCACCTGAAGCGGGGCCCAGTGAAGACTCCTTGGTAAAGGACCGCTTCCCCCCCAATTTAAGCCAACAGTACCAGAAAAAAGGACAATCGATTACCCTCCAGCAAGAAAACTCCGAGGAGTCACAAGAGACCACCCTCTCCCCACTTTCGGAGGAAGGGATGGCCCAAATTTCAATGGAAGACCGGGAAGCAATAAAAGAGGTAACAATCATACAATGTAACTTGCATATTCTTCTTGTACTTTTTATGCACTTATTTATGTTACTCTTTATATTTGTAATTTTTGTTATTTTTTATATTTGTCAATAATTGATAGGATATTATGTTGTGAATCATATATTTTTCTCTAAATCAATGTTCCTCATTTTTCATTAAAAAATTGTTAAATTTTTTATTATTATAAAATTAGTGTGGATTTAAGGTTGAGTGTTAGTTTAAAATAATAATGAGCGACACATATTTCTGGAAATATGTGTATTGTACCAAAAGTTGAAACAATTTGAGAGCACGAATTGATATGATGTAGTGTTGAAAAGATTAAATGTAAATGAAATAATAAAATCGAAAAATCGAAAAATTGAAAAATCGAAAAAATCGAAAAATCGAACAACAAAATATGGGACCACCATTGACGCGGTATTTTCCAGATATTTAGATGTTTCTTATTTCAGTTACCATAAACCTATAGTTTCATTGATAAAAAATCCTGAATAACCTACATGTATTGTAAGATAATAAAAATATTAAAAACAATATTAACTTCTCATTTATTCAATAAAAGAAAAAAATAAATTTGTTTTCTTATCGACCACCACGCCCAAAAAGTGCAACTTGAATTAATATCAAAGAAAAAAAATACTGCATAAATAAAATAAATAAATATAATTGCATAAGTTGATAAAAAATGCTATGCAATAGCTTTACCGCGGCAGTCCCCGACTGCCACATGCATTTTTTTTTAAATGTAATACCATTTATCAGAATTTGTGCTGTTTTCTCAAACAATCATACGACACCAAAATAAGTTCCACCATCAGAACAAATTAACAAGTTTCTGCTGGATAGAGAATATTTATTCACAAAAGTTTTAATCAAATTTCTAATAAAAGTTCAATAATAGTAGGATGTCTATCTAACTTTATAAACTTGATGTAAAACGTAACAGAACACTGTCGTCTTCTGTGTTTAAGGTCTTGCTCTTGGAACAGAAATTTTGACATTTATTTAGGAAAGTTCAATACTTTCTCGACTATATTATGTAAATACGCTACCACCTAGGTTTTGAAAATTATAAAACTTTTCTATTCGTTTGGAGACCAAATTCGAAATTAACAATGACAATAACGAAACGATTTTCATTTATTTATTACGTTGTTACTTTTTGAAAACTGCACTAGCGTAAACATAATTGGCTAGGTTGTCAATTAAAAGTTTCTAACTCAGTGTTGCCAGATCGGTTACACAGTAGAGGTGGGAAGTTCGAATCTTTTTACTGAATTAATTCATTTGAGTCATTCACCTAAAAAGATTCGTTCTTAAAGATTCGTTCTCAAGTGATTCACTTAAGCTAACCACGAACGATGTTATTCCGCCGATCCGGCGAAGGAAATCGAACCCCAGTATATGTACCAATCAGTATTGGCACTCTGAGGCGGCACGTTTGATCTTTAAAAGTAGAAATTTTAGTTGACACTTGACGTTTTCGGGATATGAAAAGTTTTCTTTACACGGACTTGGTATACCTGGTTAGTTGAATTTTTGTTCTGCTGCTCTTCAAATTCGTGTGTATGAGGGAGATGTGAGATACCTTTATAGACAACGGTTGAACAACTTAATTACTTTGAAGAAGAAAATAGATTAGATATCAGGGCAGTCTTCGCAAATGTAAGAAGGACTGAACCGTTTAAAATTTTTTTATATATGTGAAATATTACTTTTTGGTGAAAAGTTTAATTACTTTTAGTTCAAAATATAACGTTAGTTTGTCAAGGGAAATATATAACACACAAGGTTAGAGTAACAAAATAGAGGTATTGCTTTATTTCTTAAGAATTACTCTAATCTAAAACTTTTCTAGTATATTGTAAAAATTTATTCTATACGTTATTTAGGTACTGCAAAATCTATAGGAAAGTATGTAGTTTTAAATTTAAAAATTTGTAACGGAGACGTATTTAGTGTAGTTTTTTTACAAATATATACTCAGTGACTTGTTTTTGTGAATGAGTTCAAGTATGGCAGACTAAAATCGTTATTTTTTATTATGAATTAATTTGAATTTATTTTAAAATGGGAACTATATGTATATGGTTTTCGAAGTTTTTACACTTGTGATAAAAATATCAAAGTTATGTATATTGACCATTTACTACACACAGCAAATTCATAGACACAATACATATTACTATTTGACATTCTTGTAAAATCACTAATTTAAAATTGACTTTAAACTAAGTGACTACACACAGAATTGTTTGAAAGCAGCCATAAGGCATAATTTATTTATTGGATACTGTAATAAAATTAATAGTAGTTACATGTAGAGTTAAGTAACAAGAAATTTAAGACCAAAAACAAAACAAACCTTTATATCTAGTGAACTTAATTTGGTACAGTCCTCAACTTTCTTAGGCTAGCATTAAAGATATCTATCTGGATCTCGCTAAGAAACTCATTGAACAGCCATCATCTTGTTAAAAGGAGATATACTACTTGGATCTTAATCAAATAATTTTTTGTTACTTGGGTTTCTTAGATTAATCTTTGCGGCATTAACATTTATATAGTCAATCAATTCACAATATTTGTACTTAAAATAGAGTACAAAATATATCACAGCCTGTTGCTTTCTTCTTTGTAAAAGAGATTTAATCTTAAAACTATTGAGCATAGTTTTATACGAGATCTTAGGTATAAGGATACAAGTATTTTTTATGACATAAAGGTACCGTAAAATTTTTTTTGTACTTGTTCAATATGATCAATTTGTGTGGCTTCCAAGGGCATCCATATTTGTGAAACATACTCAAGATGGAGTCTTACTAAGGCATTATATAATCTGATTTTGGTGGCAATCCTAAATTTTTTTTGTATTTCTGATTTAAAAACCTAATGCTTTTATTGCTTTTTTAGTTATGTGTAAAAAATGGTTATTGAACTTCAAATTAGACTGAAAGACATCACAGGTCTTATTTCTAATGTGAAACATTAAGAGGCTATGGATCCTTACAACTTAAAATATGCATACGTTTGTAACTGTTAAATAGACGGATAAAAAGTGTTGATTTTTATTTACAACTATAATAAGAACCCATTAAAAAGATTAAGAGCAATAGAACATTTCAACAAATTTCTATAGGTACACATATTTTTGATACCTGATAATCAATAAATAATATATTTTTTGGAGTAGCAACAGGTTTATTAATACACAACTATTATTTTGTCACAAATACTTATAATTAACATACCTAATAGTTGATATAAGTCCTTTAAAAATAATATATTTTGATTTAATTGTTGAATTTATACATGAGCAATTTTCTTTGTAGCGTTGTTTACATTTTGCAGATAAATATTGTATTCTGCTTTTAGCTGATAAATCATGTACATGTAAATGGGTTGAATGTAGACAATGTTAATGTTTTTGCTACTACTGCTGGCTAGGAATGCTGGACAGGGACACCAACAAGAAAAAAGGAAGCACAAAGCACTAGATGTTGTTATCACTTATACACGAACAATTTACAACCATTCAAGTAACTAGCATGTTGTAAATACTTCACGAAAACATATTAAACATAAATCAGTCGAAGGCAATGTATCTTCTTTTTATAACACACCTTTTTAGCTTGATTACTTTTAGTGCTCTATTTAATCCAATGTCCTCAAATAAAACGAGCAATAATAAGGATAAAACACACACTGAAGTGAATTTGGGGTATTTTTGATCTAAATCCACTATCAAAATAACAAATTTTTCGTTTTTAAGCTGTGAATGTATTACAAAAACTACTTCGATAAAATGTAAACAAAAGTTTATATTTGTGTACGAAATATGGGTTGCCTGCGCATGGTAGCGAGTTTTTAACCGGATTTATGACAAGTGATAGGTTATATCCCGAAAACGTCAGCGCAGTAAAAGCTGCGCGTCTTTTTCCCGCCCAGGGAGTGTCATGGGCCTGATCGAACCGAACGTTTACGAATTTGAGTACTTCCTAACCTATCTATCTACCTACTAGGTCATTGAGTGGGGTTTATTCCGCAATGCGTGAGAAATAATATGATTTGAGTTGTTGTGAGGTGCTCGAGTAAAATAATTTATTATAACCGGTTTTATTTTAATTTTATAGTTTAAAGTAAAGCGAATTAATGTTTCATATTTCATAAAAAGAAGGCAGCTGGAAATTTAAATACTATAATAGTAGATACATCCTTGTCCATTAAGATAAACAACAGTAACACATTTTTTTTTAAATAAGGATAATTTCCTGACCGTACAGAATTTTATATAAATAAAAATTTCTTAGGTTTATTCGGCCATGTTGTTATTTAGCACAGCACTACATATGTTTCGGAATCATTTTTCCATCTTCTGGTGCAGTCAAAATTTATTAAAACTTGGGGACGATTACAAACACTTTAATTTTTTTTTAATTTTTTAAAATAACAGAAACCCCATCTTTCTGATTAATATATAGCCAAAACTAACGCAAAATTATAGATTTATGATTCGTCATTTATTGGTTTACTTATTTACTTTGATTTAAATTTATTTATTAGACAAGCTTATACACCTCCCGTAAAGTGAGAAAAACATTACAGACACATACCGCGACCGCCTGTCAAGAGTTCTCGTATTATGTCGTAGAACGTTGAACAAAAGCGACCGATTTGACGATGCCGATGTAAAATACCGAATCTTCGAATCCGATTCGAATGAACGAATCATTCAAACTCGGTACTCGGTGTGTTTGATTGATCGCAGAGCCATCGAGCAATTGACTCAAAAAAGATTCGAATCTTTTAAAGACAGTGAATTAATTCATTCGAGTCAGTGCACTGATTCGTTCTTTTTGAACGAATCGTTCGCGAACGACACACCTCTATTACACAGTTAAGCAGTAGATTTCCGAAAAAAAAACAGTAGATTAAGAAAAATAACAGTAGGATAAAAAAATAAACCATTCAATTTTTAAATTGATAGTTTTCATAAACATATTATAGATAAATCCAAATAAAAATAAACGAAAAACTTTATTCCTACTCAGAATCAGATAATTCTGTTGACTTTTCGTACATTTGCTGAATATGTAGAGCTAATATATTTTTATTAAACTCGAGAAACAGTGTTTTCCTTGTGAAATAATAAAGTTTTTTGTGTGTAAATTACCTGAAATAGTTGCTGTTACAAGCTTGTTTCTCTGTTGAGTTTTAAGAAGATTGACATTTGAAAACACTCTTTCCACATTTGCTGAAGAATGTGGAAAACCTAAGATATCAAATACAAAAGTGGTTAATGTAGAAAACATTTTTTTATTATCGGCGAAACTTATTTGTTCTACTTTATTCCAAAATGCTTCAATATCATTACTGTCTGCCCATTCAATTTCCGTATTTCGTAATAATCTATATTCATTGTCTAACTTTTGCAGCATATTTTCCTTTATTAAATTTGGAAAATTTTTTGCTAGAGGCATGGCACTAAAATATTCCCCTGACATAACAGTTTGAGGTTTTATTAAAAATAATG